ATCTTATTCAAAATTATTCAAATTTTAAAAATAAAAAATAAATAATATAAATAAAATGTTTTTTTATATATATATTTGTTTTTATATTTCATCTTACATTTGAAAAAATATTTATAAATATAAATATTTTTATAAATATATAAAAAAAAAAAGAACAAAACAAATATAATAAATTCAGATAAAATAATATATTATTTGCATAAAATAAATACAACATTGACAGAATATTTATTATTAAAATACATATACATATTAAAATATATTAGAACAATTATTTAAAATAGTTATTTCATTGATTCAATGACCTTGAAATATGTTATCAAGGACAACATTCTAAACAAGTTTTCTCTATACATATATATAAACATAGCTCAGTATGGTTAAGTAATACGTTCTTCACGATAAGACCTTGTCTTAAAGTATCGCAACTAATAATGGGATCGAAATCATTTGAAAATATAAAATACTAAAATATAAAATATATAAGTTTCTCTATAGTTTTATTTCAGTATTCAGATTTCATCATATTCATTAACTATATTTCGAAATAAGTTCTATTATGTAAGAAACTTAAATTTCAAGAATATAAAAAATGAATTAATTAGAATTATTATCTAAAATAGCTTATTATTTATTGACTTTATAAAAAAATGCATAAAATAAAGTTTATTATATTCGATAAAATATTTTGATTTTTTAATATCATATTTTTGGAGATATTAAATGTTCTTTTTGAAATATTAAAATAATAAAGTAGATAAAGTTTTTTTTAAATAGAATTGCTAATTTCTTTATTTGCTTCCATTTAAATGTTAAACAAATGAATTTAATGAACTGTAATAAAATGATCTTCAATTTATTTCAAAACAAAGAAATTTATAAAATCATTATATGTTTAGTCTCTTTATCTTTTTGAATTCGTTATATTTTTTTTTTATAAGGAATAATAAAAGATAACTAATATAATACTAGATGATATATTGATGATATATAATATATTTATTAGTGATATATAATATATTTATTAATGTATATTAATTGTAGAAAACATATATGTATTATAAATCGTAGAAAACAGCGTAATATAAAATCTTATTTTATATTATTATGTTATTTATGTTATATATATTGTTTATTGCATCATCGTTTAGAAACATGTTAAAATATAAATTATCACAAATTTGAACACATATTTTCAACAGAAACATTGAAGATAAATTATAAAATTATTTTCTATAAATGTTCGTTTTGCTTTGAAATTCAAAATTATTTAAAAATTATTTTAAATAATTAAATTTGTTTCCTTATTAATTATAAACAATAAAAATAAAATAAAGTAATAAAAAAAATTATAATGTTATTTAAAAAGTTCATGATTATTTTGATATTTTAGAAAATATAAAAAGATGTAGAGA